TGGGGGCCCTGGCACAGGGCCACCCAGTCACACAAACTTTCTTATATATAAACACCAATGTTCTCTTATGGTCTTGATGAAAAATCCAAGAGTCAGTAGAGCTGAGGTCCTTAGAAGCCAGAATCCAATAGTCCACCCCAGGGACCACTCTTCTCTTCAACAACCATGGTTTTGGAGACCTCTGGGGATGGAGAAGTCCAATCCCTCCTTCCTTTGTTCCCTTAGAGGACCACCTGCCCTGGGCCAGGCAATGACCATGGTGATAGAACAGCTCAAGGTGCTTATGTTAGGGGGTGGGGAAGACAACCAGTACAAACAAATCAGTAGATAATTCAGCACAGGAGGTTAGCAGTGACGTGGAGGAAAATGAATTCTTTTTTTTTTTTTCCCCAGTTGCAGCCCTGAAGCCATTAGAAAACAGTCACACTGGGCAGGGGGTGCAGCTCAGGGGTAGAGTGCTGGCCTTGCATGCATGGGCAAGGCCCTGGGCTCAAGGAAATAAAGAAAGAAGGGGGAAAGGGAGGAAAAAGAGAGAAAAGAAGAAAACAGCCACATCTTGCTAGAGCCTTCTCTATAGCCAGCTAAGTGTCCCAAATATTTTCTTTTTTTTAATATTTATTTTTAAGTTTAGGTAGACACAATATCTTTAGTTTACATTTATGTGGTGCTGAGGATCAAACCCAGTGCCTTGTGCATGCTAGGCGAGCGCTCTACCACTGAGCCACAATCCCAGGCCCCGCAAGTACTTTCTGCCATTCCTTCTAGGACAGGGGTTCAAGTCTCTTCACCATCTTGTCCACCTCCTGGACCCCTCTGGTTTCTAGAAAACTACCTGAAAGGGGACACAAGCCCCTCAGCTGTGGCCCAGCCAAGAAATAGCCTACAGGATCCCCAGAGCCCTGGCCCTGGCCTCCAGGTCTCTATGGGTTTCCGTTAATACAGCTGCTGCCCACCTCTGTCCTTGGTAGCCACTCCATACCCCTGAATCACCCCAGCCACAGGCACTGAGCAGCCCCAAGTCTTCCCTCAGGAACTTTCTGAACCGCCTCTCTCCCAACTACCTCTACCCCTAAGTGCCAGGGTTTATATTTATCCAGGTAGTTTCATCTGGCTTGAGGTTTCCTGACATGAGTCAGAACTCTCTTCCAGACAAATTACCTCTCAAAGTCTGATCCTTCATCTCTCAGGCAAAACAGGGGACAATGAGAAAGGCCAAGGAAGAGTCTTCTCCTAGGTGGCCTTGCTCTTATGTGTGGACTCTTGATGTGTGGCTGCGGGAGGGTCACGAAACCCTGGAGGGGTGAAAGTTGCCTGCTCAAGTACAGCCACATGGCTCTTGAGAAAGCCCCATGTTCTGGCCATCCATCTGTCAACTAGTTGGTTTGAAATCTTACAGATTGAACTTTCTGGTCCTTAGATGATCATCAGAATCACATGGGAAACTTTTTTTTTTTTAATGAAAATTTTTTTATTTATATATGACAGGGGAAACATTTTATTTTATTTTTTGCAGTGCCAGAGGTTGAACCCAGAGCCTCACACATGCTAGGCAAGGACTCTCTATCACTGAGCCACATCTCCAGCCCCACATGGGGAACTTGCAAAGAAACAAATTGCCAGGCTCCGTTCTGTCCAGGGTGGAGCCCAAGAATGTGTGTTGTTTTGTTTTTTAAGCCCTGGCATTATTGACTCCATACTGGCTCCTAAAGGAACCACTGCCTTTTTTGAACACCAACTGGGGAGTCCTTCCAGAAAGCTGCGTCTCTGGGACTCTCTTCTGGAAGGTCCTCTTTGCACACCGAGACATATGTAGACCTTCTGACCATCGTGTCTGACCTTGAACAGATATCAGTAATTTACCCAAAGACCCAACAAAGCTGTAGGGTAGAGAATGAGGGGTCAGAAGTCCCCACCTCAGGGACCACTTCTGGCCTGGCTGTTGGTTTCAGAGTTCCACCATACCTGACCTGCTCCTTGGTTCTGCAGGACCTAGAGGACAGGGCAGAATGGGAAGTGAATGGGGATGTGTCCTCGAGGGCCGGTACGGGGGTGAGATAAGTGAGGTGCAATATTCAAGGTGGTGCCAGAAAGCTGGGGAATCAAGAAAAGAAACATTTTAATATGATATTTTAAAAATCAAAATTACTGACAAAAACTGATGATACCTTGATGAGCACAATATCAAAATTTTAAATAAAGATAGGATCAGTGGTGGTGTGAAGCCATCTGAGAGCCCAAGATAGAAGGAAAAACCAGTAATAGAAACAATACGGAGAACAGGAAAAAAAAATTCATAACTTTTTAAATATTCTCAGAGATGATATTTCATCCATGACATAAGAACAAGAAGCTTTCTTAAGAGAAAATTATCCGAAAATAATAGAGCTCTTAGAAATTAAAACTCTGATGTAGGGAATAAAAACAATACTTTATAAAAATAAGGATGAAAACAATCCCCCGAACATGAAACAATAATAATAACAATCAAACTAACCAATAAACAACAAAAAAAATGCAAAGGAGATAATAGAAGACAGAAGAAAATTCAAGAATGACATCCAGAAACTGATGTCTAGGAAAAAAAGAGAATATGGGCGGGAAAAACTATCAAAGAAAGAAAGCAGAAAAGAAATTTCCAGAACTGAGGAATGTAAGTCTCCAGATTGAAACAGTCTACCAATGTCCAGTGTGGTGAAGGAAAGAGCCAAAGTGGGCAGCCCCGGCACTTTCAGAAGACTGGGGTTATGGGGACACCCTGAAAGTTTCCCAAGGTCAATACAAAGATCAGGAACAAGAATGACACCAAACCTCTCCACAGTGACATCAGAAGCAAGAAGACAATGGTGAGATGCTGTCAAACTTGAGACAGAAAATTATTTTTTTAAGAGAGAGAGAGAGAATTTTAATATTTATTTTTTTAGTTTTCGGCGGACTCAACATCTTTATTGTATGTGGTGCTGAAGATTGAACCCAGGCCGCATGCATGCCAGGTGAGCGCGCTACTGCTTGAGCCACATCCCCAGCCCCAGAAAACTATTTTTAATCTAGAAGTCTATGTTCAGTAGAACCATCGATCAAACGAGAGCACAGAATAAGGCATTTTCAGACCTGCAAGTTCTCAAGAGAATTTCTTCCCTCCTGTGCAACCTCTCTTTTGTTTAGTTTAGGAAACTAAATAGCCAAGAGGGTGAAGCAGGAAAGAGAAGACACAAGGTCAAGGAAATTCCCAACAGGGAATCTGACACAGGACACAGACAAATGAGAGAAGGAGGCCCGGGGATGGTAACTGGGGGGCAAGTGAACAGCTCGTCCAGGTCAGAACAGACGCCAGGAAAGAGGTTTCTAGGAGGCAAAAAAAAAAAAAAGAACTGACAGGTTTGGCCACACGGAGAATTATATTTGAAGTCAAAGGATAATGTGTAAGAAGACACCAGAGGTAAGCATGGGAAACCAAGGGCGCGGGACATAGCAGGGTCCCAGGAAGAATGAAAATTGTACAGGAAAAGGACATGACCCTGCTTGGATCAGGTGTGAACAGGATTCAAATGATAATAACAAGACAGGATTGAACAAAAAGATTCAGAGAGGGAGCACAGCAATGCTGGGGGATGGGGGGAATATGAAAGCCAAATCTTCATCCACCATGAAAGGCAGCCCAGGGACCTAACACTGACCTACCCAGAGGGGCAGTACAAGCAAAGTCTTTGCAAAGACAGAGGTGGACGCCTGTAGGACAGCTGGCAAGGCACCTGCTGAGGACGGTGGGCAGTGTGGTCTGAGGTAGGGGCTGGTGGGGCTGCTCTGTTTGTTTTAGGTTTCTAGCACTGTTTTCCTTCTTTCTTTTGAACAGGGGTCTCGTGCTGCCCAGGCCAGCCCTGAACTCTTGGGCTCAAATGATACTCCTGCCTCCTAGTTGAACTTTTTTACTATCTGCAGGTTTTTCTTTAAGAAAATTGTTTTTAAAACATAAAATAAAGAAGCATATGCTGAGAACTGCATCTTCTTGATGATTTATTTATTTATTCATTTATTGGTACTGAGGATTGAATCAGGGATGCTTACTCACTGAGCCACATCCCCAGCCCTTTTTATTTTTTATTTTGAGACAAAAGTCTTGCTAAATTGCTTGGGGCCTTGCTAAATTGCTGAGTGCTGGCCTTGAACTTTCGCTCCTCCTGCCTCAGCCTCCTGAGTTGCTAGGATTACAGACTTACACCACAACTTCTCATTTCAGTTTTTCTGTATCCTGAGCCTCCACCCTCTTCGCTACCTGGGCACACTCATGCTCTCACCCTCACACTTATCATAGACACATAAACACTAGACACACGATCATGTACATAATACACAAAGCCCCTCAGACACACATGCAAACACACACCCACTGACACACACATTCCCAGAAAATAGCGATTCTAGATTTGCTGGAGGAAAGAGATGCTTAGTTTTCCAGAGAGCTGTGAGGAGGGCTTGCTCCCAGGCCCCTCCCCAGCAGGTTCTGTCCTGGAACTGTAGCCTAACTGCTTTCTCTCCAGCCCACGGCAGTGTGTCCCACCCTTAGGTTGAACAGACTGTGTCTCTGCAGCCATGAACCTTTGAGGGCACCACTATCTGTAGATGGGGCAGAAATGGGGGTGGGAAGGACTTGAACTGAAAGCTGAGATGTAACTATTAATACCACCTTCGGCTTTTTCTGCCCTGGGTTATGGAAGAATCCTGTGTCAGGAACCCTGTTACTAGGCTGTGCATCTGAAGCAAGTCACTTTACCTCCCTGGGTCCTAGAGGAGGTAGGCAGACTATCAAGCTCTGAGATGCTGGGATGTTAGGACCCGTCTGGGCTCTGCTTCCATCCCCACCCCACCCCCATCCCTCCGTCTCCACTCCAATCTCCAGGGCTGATCCTGGTGATATGTGTGCTGCTTGTCGGATCAGTGCATGTGGGGCATCTGGAGAGACCCCACGGACACTTCCCTCCCATTCCACGTTCATCAGCACTCACCACCACCCTGGTCCTGTTATCCGGCAGTGTGTCGATAGCCAGGGTGCCCCCACCCAAGTCCTGGCTCAGCTGGGTCCTGTTCGGCTCCGACACCTGCCTTTCTCGCACTCTCTGATTCCAGCCCTGTGTGGTCCTTTTGGCAGCCCATCCAGAGCCTCGGCCTTCATTGTGACCTGGGGAAGATGCAGGAAATTGAGTGTTAGCAGGGCAGGGTACAGATCCGAGGGAGACCAACCCGCTTCTGCAGAGGCCTCAATGCCACGCCATCATTGACTCTGTGGATGCTTGAGTACCCAACATGTCCTGAGAGCCATGTGCCCAGTTCCATTTCAAGCAGCTCGTGCACACACTGCTCTGAACCTTCGCATTAATGCTCCACAGTAAATACAGTGCACTCCATTGTGCAGACAGGAATCAGAGGCTCAGAGGCTGCAGGTCACACGGGGGATTAGACATGGAAATAAGTTTCAAACCCAAGTTGATCTGCCTCCATCGGGTGACTATTCTCCACCTCAGCTCACACTGGAATCACCTACAGAGTTTTTAAACCTCCAGATGTCTGGGTCCTACCCCAGAGGTCTGATGTGTCCCGGGCATTAGGTCTCTTAAGACCTGCAGGTGAAATTTAGACAATTAGGGGAAATTTAGAGAAGTCCTGGTCTTAAAGGATTCTGCAACAAGCTGGGCATAGTGACATATGCCTATAATCCCAGCGGCTCAGGAGGCTGAGGTAGGAGGATCACAAGTTCAAGGTCACCTCTGCAACTTTGTGAGACCCTGACTGAAAAGAGAAAAATAAAAGGGCAGGGGATATACCTCAGTGGTTCAGTGGTAGAATACCCCTGGGTTCAATCCCCAGTACCAGGGGGAAAAAAAAAGAAGAAGAGAAAAGACAACCTCTGCGAAAAGGGTGAGAACCACTTCTCTGAAATATAAACCAGGTCCTTATCTATCTGCCAAAATTACTACATAATCCTATCTTCCAGGGGACTAGAAGCCAGAGAGCAGAGACCTTCCAGTTCAGGGTTTCCCAAATTTGGTACTATTGATATCTTGGACTGGATAATTCTTTTTTTTTTTCTTTTAATTTTTAAAATTATAGTGAAATACACGTAAGAATTACCACTGTAAGTGTACCATCACCTCTATCCATCCCCATAATGCTTTTCATCTTGTAAAACTGAAACTCCGGGCCCCTCCTCCCCTGTCCCCAGTCTCAGGCAAGCCCCCTACTCCAGTCTGTCACTCCTATTTTGACTGCTCCCAGTATCTCATGTTGAGGCAGGAAGGTGGGTCTCCCACAGGCAGATAGGATCAGAGCCTTTGGAGGACAGGAGGGAAGGGAACACGGGTCTGAAAGACACCTGCGACCTGCTGCTCCCTGCCAGCCCTAACCACAGTGCCTCCTTCTGAGGTGGGGTGCTTGTTCCTGTTCCCCACAGCTGCAACCCCAGCGGCCCTTCCTTGCTTGCCCCTCCCTTTACCCCTAGCACACCCGTACGGAAATGCCTTCTCCTTCCAAAACCTCGCGAGACCCATCCTCTTAATTATGTAAATAAGGATTGAAATTATGCACTTCTGATTGGCTGATGAAACTCAGAGCTTAGAGAGCTTGATTGGTTCATGCTGCATCCCTCACCCCATTGATCATCTACACTGGGGCCTCAGACACACCTTTAAAAAACCCCAAGGCAACAGATACCTCCTGCCCACCCCCTCAGGGAGCTAGGCTTTCTTTCTATTACACAAATAAATCCAGTTACTTTGATCTCACCCTCACATCCGTGGATTTCATTCCTCAAATTTGTGGGATAAAGAACCTGACTGCCTAGATTCAGTGTTAGAATATAAGTGGATTCCTAAGTATTTGTGTTCAGCTTATTTTACTTAGCACAATGTCTTCTAGTTCCTTCCATGTTGTAGCATGTAACAGGAAAAATACACACACACACACACACACACACACACACACTCATACACACACACACACTGGGGATTGAACCCAGGGGTGGTTAACCACTGAGCCATATCCCTAGCCCTTTGAAAAATGTTTTATTTTGAGACAGGCTGTTGCTAAATTACTTAGGGTCTTGCTAAATTGCTGAGGCTGGCCTTGAACTTTTTTTTTTTAATATTTTTAGTTGTAGATGGACACAATACCTTTATTTTGTTTATTTAGTTTTATGTGGTGCTGGGGATCAAACCCAGGGCCTCATACATGCTAGGCAAGCACTCTACCACTGAGCTTCAACCCCAGCCCCTGGACTCAAACTTCTGATCCTCCTGCCTCAGCCTCCCAAGCCACTGGGATTACAGGTGTGTGCCACCACACCTGGTGATTTTCCTTTTACAGTGCTGAATAATATCCCATGCATATGCATATACCATATTTTGCCTCTTCATTCTCTGTCAATGGACAGTTGGGTAGTTCGCATGTTTTAGCTATCGTGAGTAATGCTCCTGTGATCATAGGTGTGTAGACATCTTTGAGATGCTGTTTTCAACTCTTTTGCATATATATCCAGAATTAGGATTGCTGAATCAGATAGTAATTCTATTTTAATTTTTGGAGAACCCCCCCTACAGTTTTCCATTGCTGAACTGTTCTGTATTCTCACCAAAAGCGTACAAGGTTTTTATTCTCTCCACAGCCTCACCAAGTCTTGTTATTCTCTGCTTTGATTTTGGTTTGTGGTAGCAGCCATTCTGATGGGTGTAGTTTTGATTTCCATTTCTCTAACGAGTAGTGAAGTTAAGCATCTTTTCATGTCCTTACTGGCTATTTGTATATCTTCTTTGGAGAAATGGAGAAATGTCTATTTAGTCTTTTCCCCTTTTTTGGGCGGTGGGTACCCGAGATTGAACTCAGGGGCACTCGACCACTGAGCCTCATCTCCAGCCCTATTTTCTATTTTATTTAGAGACAGGGTCTCACTGAGTTGTTTAGCGTCTGGCTTTGAACTCAGGATCTTCCTGCCTCAGCCTCCAGAGCTGCTGAGATTACAGGCGTGCGCCACCATGCCCAGCTTTGTCCATTCTAAATTGAGTTGTTTTGAGTTGTTGGTGGGACTGGATAATTCTTTGGGGTGGGAGGGCCTTTTCTGTACTTCGAGGGTACTTAGCAGCATCTTTGGCCTCTATCTGCTAGGTGTTAGTAGGACCTTCCCATGCCCCTAAGCTACGACAACTGAAAATGTCTCCCAACCTTGCAAACATCTCATAGGAAACAAAATCACCCCTCCTTCTCCCCAGTGAGAACTGCGTCTTCAGCTTCACGCTCCCTTCAAACACCCAGGCAAGTCACTATCCCATCAAACAAGGGGCTTAGATACCATCCAGAACGGGGAACAGGTTTCACCTCAAATGCCCTCTCCAACTGATTAGTGACAACCAGGAGCCCTCTAATTGAGAAGAATTCTGAGGCCTCATTTGTGTTTAGCAGGAAAGATTGTCACCATCAATTAGACACGTCAGCCACGGGCACAGGATTAGCAAGTGGCCGCGCTCAGGCAGCACGTTCCAAGACTCCACGTTCTCTCCAATTCCCTCTAGGTTGTTAAATTAATCCTAAATGACACCAAAAGCATCTTTTCCCATTTCAGAGAGATTGTACCCCCTGAGCTGTGCCTCATATTGTTATTCCAATTATCACACCTACCCTGGGTAAGACTCAGACTACCAGACAGATGGATAGGACATTCTGCACGTGTGACCTTCATCTACCTCAGGCCCTCTCTGGGTCAGATGCCCTCCTCCTCTACCTCACCCACTCCACCTCCCAGAACTCCCTGTGGCAGGACTAGGCTCCTATCTCCCTGGGAGACCTGAATCCCCGGGACTCTCTCCACATTCCTCAAACACTACCTTGCAAACAGTAAGTGCTCAATCACTGCCCTCTCAAGGACACGATGCTGCAGGAGGCAGGAGGCAGCAAGGGCAGATTTGAGACAGGCTTGGCCAACACTAGGCCTGGGGCTGGGGCCAGGACACTGCTGTGGGGCTCTGGTTTGTCATTAGACATTTTATCCAATTAAGTCATTCTTGGCTATGGTGCTTGCTGGACCCTTGCCGGGCCCCTCTCACTTCTCTCTCCCTAATCACAACCAGATGCTCCTGGAGAATGTGGGGAGAGGGGCAGTCCCAGGCCCCTTCCCTGGATGCCCTCGGGCTGTCTACAGATGCCCGGAGGGCAGCTGCCCACCTCCCCTGGGCCAAGCATTTGACCCCGAGGGCGGGGCCCATAGCTGTCTCAGAGAAGGAACTATTTGTGCCGGGCTGCACAGCCAGCCGGACTCCTCGGGCTCCTCCGGTCCTACTGCAAGCAGCCCTGGGGCCTGGCAGGAGCCAGACTAGAAAGGAGCATGGACAGAACAAGTGGAGGAGCTTGGCCAGCTCAGAGGGGGATGCCAAAGACCCGCAGCTGTCACCAACCTGGGACTGCACCAGAGGGAGGGCGCTGGATGGCGGAGGCCTGAGGCCTGGGCAGAGGGAGGGATGGGGAGCCCCACAGAGTGGACAGGGAGGAGACTCGGGGTGTGCCTCTCCTCCCACAGGCTGTGGTGCCTTGGACTTGTCACTTTACCTCTGTAGGTTGCAGCTTCCCCATTGTTAGACGAGGATGACAAAGGTGCCCAAGGCCCAGGCTGCCAGGAGCCATCAGGAGAGCAACAGGAAGTGGGGCTGGAGGTCAGGCTCAAGGGCACATGGTCCATGCCAGACAGCCAGGAGCCTGTCCTGCTCTGGCCTGGCCCCAGGGTCCCCCCCCAGCCAGACCATATCTGCCTCCCTTCCTCCTCCCAGTGGGCTTAACTCAGGAGAGGAGCCAAAGCAGGGGCCCACGTACCTGTGGACACACCCACGAAGACTGGCCTGAACCCCTGCCCTTCCCCGCCAGGTGCTCACACACGTGTGGCAAATCTGCCTGGCCCTTGGGTGCGCCTGGTCCCACCTTCTGCCTCCCCAGTACCCATTCCATGCCCATGTGTGTGAGAGTCCCACCGTGTGCAATGGCAAGAAGCTTCTAGAACACATGCGTTCCCTCACCCATTCATTCACTTGTGGCCCGGGCAGTGTACAGTCTAAGGGGACATCATGATAACAGTAGTCATCACGCTGTAGCTAATGGAAACTTCTCCTCCCCCTGCACCATCCTCGGGCTCTGAACACATTAACT